TGGATGCAGCCACAACCGCAGCATCGTCCGGATCCCTGTGGAGGCTTTTTGATGATCATCCCCCGGCACAAGTCCTCGAGAGTGCTGATGCCGGAAGCTCCTCCTACTGAGGCTCTTTTTGTGGCCTAGTATCTGATCTATTCTTGAAAATGTTCCATATGCTCTTGCGAAGAATGTGTATCCTGCTGCTTTTGGGTGGAGTGTTCTGTAGATGTCTGTTAGGCCCATCTGTTCTGATGTGTTTTTCAGTGTCTCTGTATCCATACTTGTTTTGTGTCTGGTTGATATGTCCTTCGGAGTGAGTGGTATGTTGAAGTCTCCCAAAATGAATGCCTTGCTTTCTATTTCCCCTTTTAATTTTGTTAGTATTTGTTTAACATATATAGGTGCTCGTATGTTGGGTTCATAGGTATTTAGAATACTTATATTGTCTTTTTGGATTGACCCCTTATTATGTAATGTCCTTCTTTGTTACTTTCTTGACTTTGACGTCTGTTTTGTCTGGTAGAAGTACTGCAACTGCTGCTTTTTGCTCCCTATTACATTAAATATCATTTTCCATCCCTTCACTTTTAGTCTGTGTGTGTCTTTGGGTTTGAAGTGAGTCTCTTGTATGCAGCATATAGACAGGTCCTGTTTTTTTAACTGTTCAGTAACTCTTATATGTTTTGTTTGGTGCATTCAGATTACTGATAGGTATGTACTTATTGCCACTGCAAGCTTCAGATTTGTGGTAACCAAAGGTTCAAGGGTAACTCCCTTACTGAGAGTCTAATTTAACTCATTTAAATGTCTACTATTACAAATACAATCTAAAGGTTCTTTTTTTTTTCCTCCCTTTTCTTCATCCTCTATACTTTATATCTTAGGTATCATATTCTGTACTCAGTTTGTCTATCGTTTGACTGACTTTGGGGTTGATTGATTTGATTTTGCATCTGCTTAGTAATTAATTGATCTACTTTATTTAGTATGGTTTTATTTCTTCTGGTGATAGCTATTTAGCCTTAGGAACTTCCATCTGTAATAGTCCCCTCTAAAATGCACTGTAGAGACAGTTTGTGCAAGGTAAATTCTCTCAACTTTTGGTTGTCTGTTAATTGTTTAATCCCTTCTTCAAATTCAAATGATAATCTTGCTGGGTAGAGTATTCTTGGGTCAAAGCCCTTTTGCTTCATTGCATTAAATATATCATGCCACTACCTTCTGGCTTTTAAGTTTTCTGTTGAGAAGTCTGATGATAGCCTGATCGGTTTCCTTTGTCATTGATCTTTTTTCTCTTTCTGGCTTTTAATATTCTTGTTATTATCCTTGATATTTACTGTTTTAATTATTATATGTCTTGGTGTAGTCTTCATTAGGTCCCTTGTGTTGGGAGATCTGTGCACCTCCATAGCCTAAGAGACTATCTCCTTACCCAGATTGGGGAAGTTTTCTGCAATTACCATCTCAAAGATACTTTCTTTCCCTTTTTCTCTCTTCTTCTGGTATCCCTCTAATGCGAATATTGTTCTGTTTGGATTGGTCATGCTGTTCTCTCAATATTCTTTCATTCCTAGAGATCCTTCTTCCTCTCTGTGCCTCAGCTTTTTCCTCTTCTCTAATTTCTATTTCATTTACTTTCTCCTCTACTTCATCTTATCTGCTTTTATATCCCTTCATGGTATGTTTCATTTCAGATACTGTATTCCTAAATGTTTGTATCTCATTCCTGAATTCCTCCCTGAGTTCTTGAATATTTTCCTGTACTCCATGAGCATGTTTAAGATTTTTATTTTGAATCTTTCAGGAATATTGATGAGTTCGGTTTCATTTGACCCTCTTTCTGGTTTTTGTGGGATTTTGGTTTGAATGAAGTTCCTTTGATGTTTCATTTTTGTAGATGGCGCCCTCTAGTCCCCAGAAGTTCTATCCAGAGCTGCTCATCACTTGGAGGGATGGCAGAGGTCACAGGGGAGTGGTGCTGGTGCCTGTCAGGAGGAAACAGGTCTAACCTGCTTCCTGGCCGCAGTGCCTGCCTCCACTGCCAGGGCTAGTGGGCCGAGCACACAGGGAGAAGCTCTGTGGTTTGCACTTGTAGCTGCCATATGCGGGGCTGCCCTCTGGATGGCCTGGCATAATGGCAGGGGGGCTGGTTTGTGAGCCTGTGCCAGCCAGGAGGAAGGAGCAGCAGGGTGCATATCTCAGTTGGAGGCCTCAGAGCTACATAGCCATCCCTGGACAATATTGTCTACCTGGCCTTTCTCCCTAGTAGCAAGCTCTGTGCAATCCTTGCCCTTTTAGGAGCCCTTTCGCTGTTGGGCCCTTCTCTCAGACTGCCCACCTTTCTTTTATCCCAGAGCAGCCCTATGTGGATCCCTGTTTTCCACAAGTAGCTACATAAGAGTCTCAGTCTCTCCAGGTATTCCCCCTGTCTTAGATTTCCAACCCCACTATCTCCAGAGCACTGTGTAATGTAGATTCGTCCTCCCAGAGCAGATCTCCAGGGCTGGATGTTCAGCAGTCCTAGTCCTCCACCCCCTACCTGCTCCATTTCTCTTTCTCCCTCCAGTGAGCTTGTGTTCCCCCCTGGATTATGGCTTCGGTATGTTATCCTTTTCTTGAGGTCTGCTGGTTTCCCCAGGTGTAGACAGTCTGCTGTAGCCTTCTTTCTGTTACTCTTTTAGGATTTGATGTATTTGTTGTATTTCCATGTCATATGTGGTTTTGGAAGATTTCTGTCTCACCTCTCATGCTGCCATCTTTAATCCCTCATCATCTAGGGAATCTTGAAGGAATTTCTTAGAAATGCCATTTGTGGTATTAAACCTGAAACTGGATGAGAAACAGGAATAGAATACTTGGGTGTAGTTAATGCTTATGTCTAGGCTCAATGTCTAGTGTGTATTGCACATAATTTTCTTCAGTGCTTAACTGGATAATAAAGACAAGTGGGCTTTCACAAACAGAGCGAGTCCACATGACATGGACAACGGACCCAGAGCTCATACTTACTCTCGTCTGTGTTTCATGGATAGGCTGTCTTTGTGAACACCAGCTCTCTCAGGACTTTCTAATTTACTGATTGCAAATGGTGTCGTGTCTGGGATTCCAAGCTTTAGAACTAGATCAGGTGATCTGATGAAACCTTGGATCAGTCTATTTAAGTGCAGGTTTTAATTTTCATTGCATGACGAACTTTGATCTTTATTGCCAGCTTTATAGGTCAGTAGCCTGAGATCCTAGTAGCTTTAAAAGTTGTTAAGAATCCATCATCTTGTCCTTAAGATCTGTTAACAAAATTGTATTTTGACCACACCTGGACAACACCTCTCCTATTTGAAAGATTATAATAAATACTAAGACTGTATTTGTGGTTTGATAAAGTAGCAAGGTGTAAAGAATTCTGACTTTGTAATTCAGCATTTGATTCTAGCAGATTAATTTGTTTGGATTTATTAAATTTCTGTAATGTGCTAAAGATGCCTTTTGAGTTTTATACTGTAAGCATCTGGTTTTCAGGACCCCCCAGACAGGATGAGTATCTTCATTCATTAACAGCTATAGTTCAGTCCCCATTTTGTGCAAGTACTGAGAATAAAACAGCCCCTGCTTCTGTAGAGCTCATAATCTGATAGGGTAGAACCAGAAGTCACCCTTCCTGATATCATGCCCTGGCCCATCTTACTGTGTTGTTTCATAGCTTCCCAGCCTGGGCTGCAGTCCAGTGATAGAGTAAAAGCCTTACCCTACCACCATCCTTGGAGGTCCTGGGCCTTGAGTCATCTCACACCCTCTTACCAATCTGTGACAGCACAGGAAAAGGGAGGCAAGGATGTGCATATTCTTTGGCAGATCTTAGGAATAGCTGGAGAGGTGCCAGGTCTTGCCTCCTGGTCTATGCAGTGGAGTTTGCAAGGGCCTCAACATGATGGCCCCTTTCAAGGACTCTCAGATTCTCTAGCTGAGGCTTGAATGGCCACACATCCACACCAGCCTCAGTTCCCCTCTCTACCTGCCTGTTGTGTTGCCACCTCTGTCAGCATTATCATTCCAGCTACTGACTTGTTATTTGTTCTCCATTTTTCTTACAACAGATCCCTTGCCCAGGCTTGAGGAAAAACCACAAAGTGTTGGTGCTTCAGAGGGGGTGTACCTCAAACAGCTACCTCACCCACTGCCGACCCTGCAGACCGGCTGTCCCAGGCAGAGCTCGCCACAGGAGAGGGAGATGGAGTGTTCAGAGCTCAAAAGTGACCGCCTGGACCCTGCAGACAGCTGTAAAGCAGCAAAGAGCAAGTCTGTCTGGTCCTCTGAGAGCAGCTGTACCGGCCCAACAGCCCAGGGGTGTATGAGGGACCTCTCCGCTCTGACAGATAGAGGGTCTCTCCCCGAAAACGGAGTGATTGTTGAAGCGGCCCCTTGTGGGCCAGAGGGGAAGGGCCTTGGTGGTAATGGTTCAGAAAAGCCACTTGGACCCAGGGGCAAAACTTTGCAAGAAACCATGCCATGTACCAGACAGAACCCAACCACACCTCCCAGCACAGACCCCAGTTTGATGGGAGGCACCACAGGCCAGTTCTCTGCCTTGTACATGCCTGGCCTGGAATATCCGAATTCACCTGTGCACTACCACGGGGGCCCAGGCCTACAGGCTCTGGGCCCTCTCATGGGACGAAAGCCTTCGGTATCACATCCACAGCATTTTCCCACAAGGGGCTTTCAGCCTAACACTTCTCATTCTGGAGTCTTTCCCCGTTATCGACACCAAGGAGTGAGGTATACGTACCCACCACCTCAGCCTTCCTACCATCACTGTCAACGGACTCCTTTTTACCCGTGTCCACGGGGCTTCTCTGACTGGCAGAGGCATCTCCATCCCGCAGGCAGCCTGGGTGGGCCACCACCCAGTCAGCCTCCCCCACCAGGGCCTCTCTTCTCAGATAAGAGCGCCATGACTAACCTGCCGGACTGTGAGACACTGAGCACTGCCTTAAGCTCCCCAGCCCGAATTGGCACGGTGGCAGCCAAGGTGCTTCACACTGACGGGCAGAACCCTGGTCCAGAGGAGAAGCTGGATGAGTCTGTGGAGAGGCCAGAGAGCCCCAAAGAGTTTCTGGACCTGGATAACCAAAACGCAGCCACCAGGCGACAGAGCTCATTGTCCCCCTGTGGGTACCTTTACAGGGCTCCTCCGCCTTTGAGTTCAGCGGTGGAATTCGGTTCATCTGCTTTCCCTCCCCACGGTGTGGTGCTCCAGGCAGGGCCTCCTTACACGTCTCAGCGGCTGGCTGGTCATTTCCAGCCCAGGGCCTACGCTTCCCCAGTGGTTGCCCCCCCACCTCACCATCCGGCAGCCACCCAGCCCAATGGCCTCTCTCAGGAGAGCCCCATCTACCACTGCCAGGAAGAGGAGCTGGGTCACTTTCAAGCTGTAATGATGGAACAAATTGGCCCTGGGAGCAGAATGAGGGGAACTTTCCAGGAAATGTACAGACCATTAGGGTAAGATTGCCACAGATTGCTTTTTTTCGATAAAAAACAATAGCGGTTAGTTTTAAAAAGAAGAATCACCTTAGGAATGAAGATAAACTTCAGTGGTGTAGGACCAAGAAAAGTATGTAAGGTGTTGATGCTGGCAGGTTGCTGGATACACACAGGTACACCTCACTTCATTGCACTTCACAGATACCGGTGTCTTTTACACATTGAAAGTTTATGGCAATCCTGCAAGTCTTTCAGCTCCAGGTTTCTAACAGCATTTGCGCACATGTCCCTGTATCACATTTTTGTAATTTTAGCAATATTGCGAATTTCATTATTATTATATTTGATATGGTGATCTGTGATCAGTAATTACAACTCTGAAAGCCCACATGACGGTTAGCAATTTTTTAGATGTGACGCATTTTTTTATATATATAAACACTATACATTTTTGTTGTTATCATTCATCTACAATTATATACAGAACATTATGTTTACTAGGCTTCCCCCTTTACCAAGTCCCCCCCATAAACCCCATTACAGTCACTGTCCATCAGCATAGTAAGATGCTGTAGAATCACTACTTGTCTTCTCTGTGTTTTACAGCCCTCCCCATGCCCCCTCACCCCCACATTATACATTGCTAATCGTAATGCCCCCTTTCTTTTTCCCTGCCCTTATCCCTCCCTTCCCACCCATCCTACCCAGTCCTTTGGTAACTGTTTGTCCATTCTTGGGTTCTGTGATTGTGCTGCTGTTCTGTTCCTTCAGTTTTTCTTTGTTCTTATACTCCACAAATGAGGGAAATCATTTGGTACTTGTCTTTCTCCACCTGGCTTATTTCACTGAGCATAATACCCTCTAACTCCATCCATGTTGTTGCAAATGGTAGGATTTGTCTTCTTCTTATGGCTGAATAATGTTCTATTCTCTATATATACCACGTCTTATTTATCCATTCATCTACTGATGGACACTTAAATCAGTAATCCTTTTCCTTTCCTTTAAATCAGCTTCCATTTCCTGGCTGTTGTAAATAGTGCTGCGATAAACATACGGGGGTGCATCTGTCTTTTTCAAACTGGGCTGCTGCATTCTTAGGGTAAATTCCTAGAAGTGGAATTCCTAGGTCAAATGATATTTCTATTTTGAGCTTTTTGAGGAACCTCCATACTGCTTTCCACAGTGGTTGAACTAATTTACATTCCCACCAGCAGTGTAGGAGGGTTCCTCTTTCTCCACATCCTCACCAGCATTTGTTGTTGTTGGTCTTTTGGATGGTAGCCATCCTTACTGGTGTGAGGTGATACCTCATTGTTGTTTTAATTTACATTTCTCTGATGACTAGAGATGTGGAGCATCTTTTCATGTGTCTGTTGGCCATCTGAATTTCTTCCTTGGAGACCTGTCTATTCAGCTCCTCTGCCCATTTTGTAATTGGATTATTTGCTTTTTGTTTGTTGAGGTGGGTGAGCTCTTTATATATTTTTTATGTCAACCCTTTATTGGGTTGACATTTCGAATCTCTCATTTATGAATATATCCTCCCATACTGTAGGGTGCCTTTTTGTTCTATTGATGGTGTCCTTTGCTCTACAGAAGCTTTTCAGCTTGGTATAGTCCCACTTGTTCATTTTTGCTTTTGTTTCCCTTGCCCGGGGAGATATGTTCATGAAGAAGTCGCTCATGTTTATGTCCAAGAGATTTTTGCCTATGTTTTTCTCTAGGAGTTTTATGGTTTCATGACTTACATTCAGTTGATCCATTTCGAATGTACTTTTGTGTATGGGGTTGGACAGTGATCCAATTTCATTCTCTTACATGTAGCTGTCCAGTTTTGCCACTACCATCTGTTGAAGAGACTGTCTTTTCCCCATTCTATGTCCATGGCTCCTTTATGTACATTAATTGATCACATATGTTTGGGTTAATATCTGAACTCTCTTTATTCTTCCTTCTCAGGATTGCTTTGGCTGTTCAGGGTCTTTTGTGGTTCCATATGAATTTTACAACTATTTGTTTGAGTTCGTTGAAGAATGCTCTTGGTATTTTTATAGAGATTGCATTGAATCTGTATATTGCTTTAGGCAAGATGGCCATTTTGACAATATTAATTCTTCTTAGCCAAGAGCGTGGGATGAGTTTCCATTTGTTAGTGTCCTCTTTAATTTCTCTTAAGAATGTCTTATAGTTTTCGGGGGATAGGTCTTTCACTTCCTTGGTTAGGTTTATTCCTAGGTATTTTATTCTTTTTGATGCAATTGTGAATGGAATTGTTTTCCCGGTTTCTCTTTCTGTTAGTTCATTGTTAGTGTATAGGAGAGCCTCAGATTTCTATGTATTAATTTTGTATCCTGCAACTTCGCTGAATTCCAATATTAGTTCTAATAGTTTTGTAGTGGAGTCTTTAAGGTTTTTTATGTACAATATCATGTCATCTGCAAATAGTGACAGTTTGACTTCTTAGTATACTAATCTGGGTTTCTTGTATTACTTTGTTTTCTCTAATTGCCGTGGCTAGGACCTCCAGTACTATGTTGAATAACAGTGGGGAGAGTGGGCTTGTTCCCAATCTTAGAGGAAAAGCTTTCAGCTTCTTGCTCTTCAGTATGATGTTGGCTGTGGGTTTGTCATCTATAGCCTTTACTATGTTGAGGTACTTGCCCTCTATACCCATTTGTTGAGAGTTTTTATCATGAATGGATGTTGAATTTTGTCTAATGCTTTTTCAGCATCAGTGGAGATGATCATGTAGTTTTTGTTCTTTTTGTTGATGTGGTGGATGGTTTTGATGGATTTTCAAATGTACCATCCTTGCATCCCTGGGATGAATCCCACTTGGTCATGGTGTATGATCCTTTTGATGTATTTTTGAATTCGGTTTGCTAATATGTTGTTGAGTATTTTTGCATCTATGTTCGTCAGGGATATTGGTCTGTAATTTTCTTTTTTGGTGGGGTCTTTGCCTGGTTTTGGTATTAAGGTTATGTTGGCTTCATAGAATGAGTTTGGGAGTATTCCCTCCTCTTCTATTTTTTGGAAAACATTAAGGAGAATGGTTATTATGTCTTACAAAATTCAGTGGTAAATCGATCTGGCCCAGGGGTTTTGATCTTGGGTAGTTTCTTGATTACTGATTTAATTTCTTTTCTGGTAATTGGTTTGTTTAGATTTTCTATTTCTTCCTTGGTCAGTCTTGTGTGGTTGTATATTTCTAGGAAGTTGTCCATTTCTTCAAGGTTTTCCAGCTGGTTAGCATGTAGGTTTTCATAGTATTCTCTAATTTTTCTGTCTGGGAGATCTATCCTTTGGAGTGAGTGGCATGTTGAAGTCTCCTAATATGAGTGCATTGCATTCTATTTCCTCCTTTAATTCTGTTAGTATTTGTTTCACATATGTTGGTGCTCCTGTGTTGGGTGCATATATGTTTATAATGATTATATCCTGTTGTTCGACTGAGCCCTTTATCATTATGTAATGTCCTTCTTTATCTCTTGTGACTTTATTTGTTTTGAAGTCTATTTTGCCTGATACTAGTACTGTAACACCTGCTTTTTTTCTCGTTGTTTTCATGAAATATCTTTTTCCATCCCTTGACTTTTAGTCTGTGCATGTCTTTGGGTTTGAGGTGAGTCTCTTGTAAGCAGTATATAGATGGGTCTTGCTTTTTTATCCATTCTATTACTCTGTGTCTTTTTATTGGTGCATTCAGTCCGTTTTAGTTTTGGGTGTTTATTGAAAGATACATACCTATTTCCATTGCAGACTTTAAATCCGTGGTTACCGAAGGTTCAAGTTTAGCTACTTCAGTATCTTTCTGTCCAACTTAATTTGCTTTTTGAGCTGTTATAAACACTGTAAGATGATTCTTTATTTCTCTCCCTTCTTATTCCTCCTCCTTCATTCTTTATATGTTGGGTGTTTTATTTTGTGCTCTTTTGTGTTTCCTTTGACTGCTTGTGTGGGTAATTGATTTTATTTTTTGCCTTTAGTTAGTATTTGGTTCGTCTGCTTTCTTTGCTGTGATTTCATTTTCTCTGTTGACATCTATTTAGCCTTAGGAGTGCTCCCATCTAGAGCAGTCCCTCTAAAATACCCTGTAGAGGTGGTTTGTTGGAGGCAAATTCCCTCAACTTTTGCTTGTCTGGGAATTGTTTGATCCCCCCTTCATATTTTAATGATACTCGTGCTGGATATAGTATTCTTGGTTCAAGGCCCTTCTGTTTCATTGCCTTAAATATATCTTGCCATTCTCTTCTGGCCTGTAAAGTTTCTGTTGAGAAGTCTGATGATAGCCTTATGGGTTTTCCTTTTAGGTGACCTTTTTCCTCTCTCTAGCTGCCTTTAAAATTCTGTCCTTGTCCTTGATCTTTGCCGTTTTAATTATGATGTGTCTTGGTGTTGTCCTCTTTGGATCCCTTTTGTTGGGACTTCTGTGTACTTCCATGGTCTGAGAGACTTATTTCCTTCCCCAGTTTGGGGAAGTTTTCAGCAATTATTTCTTAAAATACACCTTCTATCCCTTTTTCTCTCTCTTCTTCTGTTACCCCTATAATGCAGATATTATTCCTTTTGGATTGATCACTCATTTCTCTTAATATTGTTTCATTCCTAGAGATCCTTTTATCTCTCTGTGTGTCAGATTCTATGCATTCCTGTTCTCTGGTTTCTAATCCATCAGTGGCCTCTTGCGTCTCATCCATTCTGCTTGTAAATCCTTCCAGAGTTTGTTTCATTTCTCTATTCTCCCTCCTTAGCTCTTGCATATTTGTCTGCTATTCCATCAGCATGGTTATGACTTTAATTTTAAATTCTTTTTCAGGATGATTGGTTATGTCTTTCTCCCAGGTTCCTTTTCAGGGGAGACTGTCTGGGTTAATCTGGTTTGTATCAAATTCTTCTGCCTTTTCATGGTGATAGAGATAGTCGTGGGTAGTTGGCACATGTCAGCTGGGAGAACGTCCCTTCTTCCTGGTTTGTGGCCTTCCTCTCCTGGGAGAACAGTGACCTCTAGCTGCTTGTGCTGGGCAGTTGTGCCTAGACGGAGCCTCTGATTCTTGCCTGGCCGCTGTAAAGGAAGCTCCATGGTGGGTTGCTATGGGCGTGGCTGCTCTCAGGCTGCCACTCGGCTATGGCAGGGCCGCACCAGAGTGGGAACAGGCAGGAAGCTGTTCACCGCCTTAAGGGGCCTCGGAGCTGCACTGCCACCCAGGGGGTTAGGGCGCCCTGGTTCACTGGGTTCCCAGCTGCTGAGCTGATTGTGCTGGAATGCCTCCATGCAGCTGTGCGGTCCCTGTCCCTTTAAGACTTTCACAAAGCACTCTCTTTTCTTTGTCCCAGGGGCGCCGGCTGCATGGACCTGCTCACAGAATTTACTGTCCCGTTCGTTCCCTAGTATCCAGCACCTTGCACACTGTGTGTCTGTGCTCCTGTGCGGATGGCTAGGGCTGGGTATTTAGAAGTCCTGGGCTCCCTCCCTCTCCCCACTCCGACTCCTCCCGCTGGGAGCTGGAGTGAGGGGCATTCGGGTCCCGCCAGGCTGCACCTTGTGTCTTACCCCCTTCATGAGGTGCAGGGTTCTCACAGTTGTAGGTGTAGTCTGGGTGTTATCCTGTATCTTCGTATTTGTTGTATTTTCAAAAATATCTGTTTTTGGGAGGAGATTTCCACTGCTCTACTCACGACACCATCTTGGCTACTCCCCAGGAACCCATTTTTTAATATAGGTGTGTACATTATTCTTTTAGATATAACTGCGTACATGTTGGACTGTGCACTAGGAAACCAAAAACAATTCATCTGACTTGCTTTATTGCAACACTATCTTTACTACAGTAATCTGGAATGGCCTGGCAAGATCTCTGAGGTGTGCCTGTATTAGCCTTAGAGACCACTTTTATCTGTGGCATTTGTTTCCCTCCCGAAAGTGAGTTGACATTTAAATGACTATCTAGTTAGGTTTTGATATTGGAAACTTGATAGCCGCAGTTTGAGAGCTGTTAGCAAGGGCTTCTGCACCGCTGCTGAGGTCCGACACTGGCCAAGATAACAGATTTCAGACCCTGGGTATTTGGAAGATATACATAATGGTTTTACTCCTTGCCTCTCATTTTTTCCATTATTATTGAGAGAAGAGATGAGATTTATCCAGAATTGGAACAAGTCGAATACTGTCCCCAGAGAATTCTCATAAATAATGACGTTTTTTTAAGACCCAGGAATGCAATCTGTGATCCAGGAAGTCTTCAAGCTAATTATATATAAAAGATGGTTAGATCGAAGTTGTTTATATTAAAGTTATGAAGCCCAATTGTACCCCTCCCAGTGCCAGCTGAAGACCTCACCGCCAGACCCTGCCCGACTGGATATTTTGCCTACTCATTTTATATCTCTCAGTATATTATGTTTTGTTTCTTTTCAGTGCTTGACTTCTAAACCATTGACAAGTATATGTCATGACCTTTAATCCCAAAGTACTTGAGCGTGCAGCCCCCAAGAATAAGAACATTTCTTCTGGAGCTCAGTCTCAAACTGTTATCACCCCAGGAAAATACAGAGTCCTTATTTAATTTCTCCACTTGTCCCCAGAATGTCTTTCATAGCTATGTTTGTTTTATTTTATATCCAGGATCCATTCAGGGTTCTCGTATTTACATTTGGTTTCAAGTCTGTTTAAACTCTTCATTTACAACATTTACTCCGTTTTCCTTTTGTATTTTAAAGACCCCTGGCCAGTTCTCTTGCAGTGTCCCAGTTGCAGTCGGATTGGACATTTTTGTCAGAAGCACTGCACAGGGGGTGTCAGCTCACACCTGGTGGCGTGCAGTGTCTGTCAGTGCCTCCCAGGACTGAGGCTCCCAAGTCAGGCCGCCTGGATAAGCAAGCCAGGATCTGTCTGAGTTGTTCATGTGAAAGCTCTGCTTTTCTTTTTTAAGACTGTCTTTGTTCTTTCTGTTCCTGTCTTTTTGCTGCAGAATGCAAATGCACCCAGCGCAGTCCCTGCCCTCCCTCCCCGAGGCCCCGGCACCTGCACCACCCCAGGAGGAGCTGTCACCACGTGCGCCCCCGGCGCTTCCTCTTGGGCAGGTGAGGGCTACTGGAGGGTAGGGTGCTCCTGCCTCCCAACGGCGGCAGGGTGAGCGTGAGTTCGTCGCCATTCTGAAAAATCTTTCAGGGTGTCCTGCTGACACAGGACCTTTTCCTGGGAACTGCTTCAATGGTGCGGGTGGGAGGGTCCCTGTGGCCCCATGCTCCCAGCTGGCCCTGCCGTGGGGAGGCCCAGAGCAGTCGCTCTGCTGTGCCTCCCACACCCTTTCCTGTTGTTACCATAACCAGCTGTTTGGGGATTACTCCCAAATGACTATGAGCTTTTATTTTTTTATTTTTTCCTTGGTGTCCTCCCCCAAGCTTCTGTGGTGTTTTTCATTACCTGTGCAAAGCTAAACCCACTTTTTTTTTGGTATCATTAATATAAAATCACATGGGCAACACTGGTTACTAGACTGCCCCCATCAGCAAGTCCTCCCCACATAACCCATTACAGTCACTGTCCATCACTGTAGTGAGATGCTGTAGAGTCACTATTTGTCTTCTCTGTGCTATACTGCCTTCCCTGTGCCCTCGCCATGTTATGTGTTACCAGCTTTTATTTTGTTACAATACCTTATCTGGCATGTCTTCACTCATTTTATTTGAGATGCTAGTCAGTCAGGTTTTAAAGCACAGCTGACCATGAACTACATGGTTTGAACTGCACAGGTCCACTTAACCTCCAGTTTTTTCAACAAATTTATTAGAAAACTTTTTGGAGATTAGAGACAATTTGAAAAAAACATTTTCTTATATCTAGTTTCCTTTGTCATAAGAATACAGTGTGTAATACCTATAAACCTATAAAATACATGTTCATCAACTGTTGATGTTATTTGTAAGTCTTCCAGTCAACAGTAGGCTATTAGTAGTTAGGTTTTTGGGGAATCAAAAGTTATACATGGACTTCAGCTGAGCAGGGGCTTGGCACCTGTGTCCCCACGTTGCCCAGGGGCTGGCTATGATAGTAGCTGCCTTCAGGAGCTGCTTCCATGCCAGGCACTGTGCTAAGAGCTCCCACATGCCTTATCTCATGTAAACTTTTCTTTGACCCCTGTGTGATGGGGCTGGAGTCTGAATCAGAGGTCCAGAATTCAGTACTCACCCTCTGGCAGTAAACTGGTGAAACAAAAATCAGGCCATTTTTCCAGACATAGAGGAACATGTACAGCTCTTGTTTATTTAATTTTTTTTTAATAATTAACATAATCATTCATTTTGTTTAAATTAACTTTATTTTGTTTCTCTCAGAGCTAGTCCAAGGAGGAAATATGCCCCACAGAAATGGAAGCTGCACATGAAGCCCGGAATATGGGAGTTTGAGGAACGACCCCTGTGCCCCACCGCACCCTTCACAGGGCCTCACTTCACACCACCCAGGAGCTGGGGCCACGCTTGGAGGCTGAGAGGCACATCTCTTAGATGACTGGCCCTCAGCTTGCAAAGGTCCTGGTTGGGATCTCTGGCGTGGCTGACAGCACGAATGAACTGGAATTAGTGATGGGTTTTTTAAATCCAGAGACTCTTGTGTTCAGGGAAAAACATCTTAAACTTAGGGGAGGGGCAGACTTAGGGATGGAGTGGTGCCTGTAAACTTTGATGAGCAGCTAAACTCAGGTATATATTTGGGGAAGGAACTACTCGTAGTATTAATATTTTTGGAGCTGGGTCCAGTTTACACAATTTACATGTTGCCTTTTAAGATAATTTTCATTGTTGGTGGTGAATGTATTGTACATAAAGTGGGAGGGTGGGTGGGGGTGTGGAGGAAACAGAAGTCCTGACTGTGGTGGCCCAGCACTGGTGTGGTCCTTCACGTGTTTACAGTCCAGTCCAGTGAGTGCCCGTGGTTGCTGGAGAGGAGGGTCGGGAGGGTCTAGTCCTGTGACTTGGTTTTGCCACCCAGCCACTCAGCCTCAGAGGCCTCTGCCCTCTTCTCTCGTGGCCCGAATCCAGGATGTAAGAGAGCAGTACCCTTCCTCACTGCCACCAGCCCTACCAGGTTGTAAACCAGTGTCAGGAATTAGGGTCACTGGAGTGTTTTACTTACTAGAAGATAAATGAATCGTCCTCCCCACAGACCGTCCTGGACTGTGATCTGAAAGGCATCACGCTTTCTGGCATGGGTCACATTTTGTGGAAGTGACTACTCAGGTTTGTATATGGTAGTATCAATAAAGAAATTGCACAGTTTTGAATAGGAAAAATGTATTCTGTAGATTTACAGGTTGAATTTAGAAATATTTCAGCATATAGGGTTTTTATTCATTTTAAGTGAATCAGTAAAAGAAGTCATGGTGATTTCATGGTGATTTAAATAGCTATCAACAAGTACTTGGAAATCATTTGTCATATCTGTGATAGGAAACAATTTTGCAGTATTAAATTAGTTAACAGTTTTAGAAGTGAATTACACTGGATTCTCCCTTTTTAGCATTCTGTATTTGATTTTAGCAGAAATGCCACCAAAGTTAAGACTCACGTGTTTTAAACTTTTGAATATTCTAAAAGAAAAGAGAAACTAAGGAACATGCCCTGAATTTACAGATTTTTGTAAAGAATAGCATATTTTTAAGCATGCCTTTGGAGTAATAGAAAAACTCCCATATAATATTAATCTGCCCTACTTTCTGATAAATACAACTGTGTGAGGGGCCAATTGAACCTTTTCTTCCAAGTCCAGCATAATTTACAAACCATGGAACAGCCTGTGTAATATGGGCTAAACATACGCTGTCGGTAGGAAGAGAGACACATTGTGGAGACATCCATGTTGTGCACACGGACCAGCTCTCGCCTGGTACAGATTTCTTCGGATCAGGTGAATGCTCACAGACCTTGTGGTGGGGCCTGTGGCCCAGGCAGAATTAAGAGCTGTAGGGAACACAAACACCCCCAAGACAGGGTATTTCTCTAATAGATGTCAGTTTTAAATTTGGTGTGCTTTTAAGTGGGGTCAGTTTGAGGCTGTTTTTATATGATTCAGACCTACCTCTGGTGCAGATTAGAATGTCTGGGGCAGCTGTCGGGCATCCTTGAGCTAGTGCAGACGGAGTGGTTGAAGCAGTCCTACTGCTGCTGTGCCTATAGAAGCAGAAGCAGGGAGGAGGAGAAGATGGCTGAACCAGGCCCAGGCCCAGATCTTTCTGCTGCAGGCAGCGGCTTACAGGAGAGCTGGCCTGAGCTGGACAGCCTCTGGCACCTGTGTGTGGGAGCACACACAACAGGGTCTCTACCCTGGCCAGTACTTTGTGCTGAGTGACCCTGGGGCATGAGCAAGGGGTCCATAGGCAGTAGTTGGGCTACCATGTACACTTTCCTCCTATCCTAGTGGTATTTGAGCAGCTGTGTACACACTGTTCGGGTGACCTTTTCTCCTCAGTCTCCCATGACTGACCCCCAGTACCTATTGCTTGAGAGAACAAGTCAGTAAATTCTCTTATCCCTAATCTCCTTGGTGTGTAGAGAGATGAGAAGACAGTGAGACAATAGCAGCCAGAGCTTCTGTATCACACTAACACTGGGGACAGGGCGGCAGCTGTGTCCTGCGTCCCACGGGGGATGGCTGGGCCTTCACACCCTGTGCAGGGTTTCCTGGGCTTTATGGCCCTTGCAGTGCAGATCTGCTAAAAGCAGGGAGGAGCCATGCAGCCCAGTCTCATCACTGGCTCTTGGATCTGCCCTCCACACCTTCTCTTACTTTGGCACCTCTTGGCTCACGTGTCTCGGGCAGGTACAGATGCCCTGTGGTCTTCTCCATCAGAGGGGTGTGGTTCGTGACACACTAAGGGGAAGATGGGGGTGAGGAGGTCCAAAAAGCAGTGGCCCGTGGTCCCCAGAGGGGAGGTACAAAGTACTCCCCAGCCATTCCACATTCACAGCTAACCTTTACTGGGTTTGTTAATAAGCTGGAAACTGCTTCCCAGAGACCTAAGAGAAATAAAAGATACAGAAAGAAAAGTAGAGCCTTTTGGAAGGTTTCTGGTTTGGGGTTTTGTTTTCTGTTCAGAGTCTGTTATTTAAAAAGTAGCTATTGGCTTAAATGTATTGTGGTAGATGCATGTGGAGAATAAGGACAAAAGCACACAAATTCCTATTCATAAAACTTTTCCATCCCACGTTTTAAAAACAAAAATAAAGCCCCTTCATGTCCCAAGAACCTGCTACCCGTGGTTTGGTCACCAGTCAGCCCACGGCTGACCACTCTCAAAGGCAGCCTTTCTCATGCCCGTCTTCCTTCTGTTTATTGAGAACCTTCAGACCTGTGGGTATGCCCCTTATTCACTCAGACCTGAGCATCCAGTGACCAGTCACCCAGCTGCCCTCAGACCTTGAAAGTGGCTCACGTCCCCACGGCATTTGTGTGCTGTGGTGCTTGGTAACCCCCCTGGAGTCTGGCCCTCGGTGCCGCCCTCAGCACATGTCAGGAACAAGCCTGCAGTCTATGCACACCACTTGGCTCAACTTTGTTCTTTTTTTGTTTTTGACGGAAGTTAAGATCTAGAAATGACATACCACCCTTAACACCTGTTGAAGTTCATGGAAGTCTTAACCCAGCAGTCCCAAGGCAAGGTCAGTAACAGTGTCAGAATCCTACGTTGCTTTCAGAGAAACTTTTCAAAGAAATGAAAGGCTTGGAGTTTCCTAGCATCATTGGCCCCTTTGTGCCTGTCAGTTCACTCCCTGTGAGATTGTGCACAGACCCTCTTTGCCGGAGTTGGCTCTGTGTGTGAATGCAGCACTGCCCACCTGGAGCTGAGGCGCAGCGTCCCTGCAGATAGCTCTCAGTTGAGCACTGCACAGCGGATACTTGGGATTTGGGTTGAGCGCACAGAGGCTTTTGCTCCTGGGCTCACGGTCCTACCTAGGCACTAAGAGTGTGATTGAGAACTGCTGCACAGAGTAAAGCCAGGCCCCCGTGTTCGCCCTGGGAAGGTTGCACTGTTCACCTTCAGGCACTGAGCCATGCCCTGCCTGCCCTTGGGAAGAACAGCCTGAGCAAACGTTTCTGCGTCCCATCTCATGTAAACCTTTGTCTACAGGCTCCCTCTCTGCTTGTATGCCTTTGCTAAACACACATATAGAGAGATTGAGCGTCCATGTAGAAATGCCTGATATCCAGGTGACATCCTGCATGTGTTTCTGCAAAGAGTGGGGCTTAGCGGGTAGGGGTATGGATGCTGAGGAAGGTCAGTGTGCTCTACTCCTCTTCCCTGGCTGGGGCTGGGGGTCTCCCTGCCCTGCCTCGCGCATGGCTCCTGGGAGCCTGGGTCGTCCCCACGCAGTGTCAGGGATTGTGTCCTCCTGCTGCACAAACCGTGCGAACGTTCCTGGCCAGTACTGGGAAGGGGAATGCTATTTATTTTTATATTGTGTATATTTTGTCGTGGTCTGCTGAGTCCTATTTCACTGAGAGCGACACTTACCTCAATAGTTAGTTCAATATTGTGTGTTGGGTAATTTTTTGAAAGAACTTTTTAAGAAGTTTTTTGATCTTGGAGGTCTGTAGATTTATTTCCATATGAACTCGTTATTTTGTATAAAGTACATTCTTAAAATAGCCAGGCTCTGGTATGTGAGTGGTGTGTGTCCATGTGTCACTTTCATAATCAGGCTGAACTCCCGCCCCACCACGCATCACGGGGCGGGGGCGGTGTGTGCCCTTGGTGACTGCGAGTGGGACGGGCCTGCTGACAGCCCACGTGGTGTGGGGTCAGGCTCTCTTCCCAGCCGGGCCTGACGCCCAACCACCCGCACAGCCTACCTACCTCAAACACCTGCAGCGTGCTGGTTTTGATCTGATGTCTAGGGTGGGCTGGGGCCAGGTGATGAGGGGACAGTGGGCAGCTGGGCCTGGGGCTGCCCATGCAGCATTTGGTCAGGGTGGGGGCCACAGGGCTAGTGAGCAGGTACTTCCTCCCCAGTTCATGTTTCATTTCCAGTTCCCAGGAGTGCTTTCATTACTGGGAGGAGGGAAGAAAAGTGCAGACGGAGTGGTTGAAGCAGTCCTACTGCTGCTGTGCCTATAGAAGCAGAAGCAGGGAGGAGGAGAAGATGGCTGAACCAGGCCCAGGCCCAGATCTTTCTGCTGCAGGCAGCGGCTTACAGGAGAGCTGGCCTGAGCTGGACAGCCTCTGGCACCTGTGTGTGGGAGCACACACAACAGGGTCTCTACCCTGGCCAGTACTTTGTGCTGAGTGACCCTGGGGCATGAGCAAGGGGTCCATAGGCAGTAGTTGGGCTACCATGTACACTTTACTCCTATCCTAGTGGTATTTGAGCAGCTGTGTACACACTGTTCGGGTGACCTTTTCTCCTCAGTCTCCCATGACTGACCCCCAGTACCTATTGCTTGAGAGAACAAGTC